ATTAATCGAGGTTATAATCCTATTCTCGTTTGTGTATGTCGTATATGTTGTAGCGATAAATGAATTGTTTAATGGCATAATAGTTTATGTAGCTTCGTCCAACAATAATTTTAAGGACGATGGTAATTATCATTGTGACGATGACGATAATGGTATTGATAATGATGATGACGATGATGATGATGACAATAATATTAATAATACTGTTAGAGTGTGGATTAAAACAGTAATTACAGTTAAGTAATGGGCAATTGGCCAAGATGGTAATACACCTAGGAACCAAACTCTACTTTCCCATGTTTTCAGCAAAACGATTATATGGTCTAATTTTCCAAATGGTACCCTTACTCTAATCCTCGTGAATCCCGAAAGAAAATCGAGAATTTGATTCTTAGAAAGGAAATGAAATTTGGAAAGAATATGAGATAGAAATACGAAGTGACTTTGATAAAGACAGAGAGACAGATATTAGAAGCGAGTTAGCAAGAAAAAAAAAAGTGAGTCAGAAGAATATCTAATCTCCCTCAAATTCCCATACATCGATGGGGGTATATATACGGCGATGAGGACCGTCCCTCTACCATCTGGCCTTGTTCGAGCGTCGAGGAAAGTCAACATGAAGAAGTTTGCTCACCTGGGTCTCCTGTCGCTTCTGATCACCTTCTGCCATGGGAGGTTCCTCACCTTTCCTAAACTGCCTTGTCCGAACCCCGAAGATATTTTGCCTTGCACATGTACTGGTGATGAGAATGGTACAATGGACATGGATTGTTCTCATGTAGTGAGCGAGGACGAACTGGAGAGGGTGTTCTCGTCGTTCTTTCCCTACACTATGTTCCGGAACTTCACCGTCGTTGATAACACGTACCTCAAGACCCTGAGGAACCAGGCTCTCGGCATCGCCTCCTTCACGGGCGTCTACATCATGAACAGCGTCCTGGAGGTGGTAGAACCCGACGCCCTCTCGAGCAGCTTTGCCACAGCCCGAGTCGTCAACATGCAGAATAACTCGATATCTTCCTTTCCCTTCGAAACCCTGCCCTCCTTCACCAGCCTCCTGGAGCTCGGCCTCAGCGACAACAGCCTGACCTTCCCTGCCCTAGAGTCCGAGACGCTGCTCGTGCTCGACCTCTCCAACAACCAGATCCGAAACGTCGCAGCCACGGCCTTCTCGGATGTGCCGGAGATCTCGGAAATTTACCTTGGAGGGAATCAAATATCTCACATTCCTACAGGTAAGATGGGAAGTTATTTCCATCATTATCAGCATTATTATGTTGTGGAAGATAGTAATTTTTTTATCTTTATTATTTTGCTTATAACATTCGTCACGATCAGCATTCTCAGTTCACATTATGGATATGTTATATCACATCATTATTATCACCATTAGTTCGTATAAATCCGTTTGTCAGTATCAGTATCGTCTTTACATTGAACTCATCCCATCGATTAACATTATGGAAATGTTATAGAACGAATGTTGTTGATATCGGCAACCTATTGCCAGGCACCTTCGCGGGACACCACAACCTGCACATCGTGAATCTAGAATCGAACTCGCTGACCTACCTTCCGAGGGCGCCATACAGCTGACCTCCAGCAGTCCGGGGACGGTCAATTTGCGGAGGAACCAGATCGCAGATGTTTGCTGTTAATTGTATACAGGTTAGTGGCTTCGACATCGGAGGCTCATTTGGGTGAGTGCTGCACCTGCCCCTGTGTGTCGTTAAAGGACGTGAAAGAAAGATTCAATGTTTATATTAATAGTATATACATACATATAAAATCACTCACTCATTCACCCACACCCACTCACTCATCACTCACTCACACACACACACACACACACCACACACACACACACACACACACACACACACACACACACACACACACACACACACACACACACACACACACACACACACATATTATTAAATAATTTAATATGTATTAACCAGAGAAAAAGAAAACAACTGGAGATTCATATGTATAACACATAATGAAATATCAAATCACTTTCCAATATCATTTTTATTTTCAAGATGTCTCCGGCGGCAACCTCGACATCAGTGAAAATACTTTGAAGGTTTTAAAGGAAGACGTTTTCCGCCCAATTCTGACCGAAAACACCACCATTGATATCAAAGGTAAGATGATGAGGTAGTAAACATTGATTTAAGGAAAAGTTGATAGATAAATATCACCCTTAAGCAAGTAATAAAACGAAAAGGCAATTTAGGAACTTGCTCTCCTCTTCGATTTTGTATTTACAAAACAAATCACTTGCTTTTATTCGTTTATTCATGTTTTCAAGACGCGTTTTTCTCATATCTCTTCCATGTAATTAAAAACCTTGATATTTTGAATTTAGTTTTAGTGAATCTTACTTAATTTTCTTATTCCTTTATCCTTCTCGCGTGTGGTTATCTATGCTGTCAGAATTTGCTCTTTCTCTTATTTTTTCACATTTTAAATTTCTTTTTCTCTTTGGATGTAATTTCGCCTCATTTTATGTTTACTCTTATTAGAAACCTCTGGATTAATACGTCTCGTTTCATGTTCACACTTATAAGAAACCTTTCTCCCTCTCTGGATTAAGTCCCCCCCCCCCCCCCTCCAAGCAACCCCTTCACTTGTGGCAAATCGTTCTGGGTTTTTGTTAATTTCATTTTCTTAGAAACCTTAATAGCACTTCGGATTTAATTTAATTCAATCCTATTTTCACTCTTGCAACCCTACCCCCTTCCCCCCCAGGCAACCCATTCGCCTACGGCTATTTTTACTGTTTTTTTTTTCTTTTTAATTATCATTACTCCATTCTATTAGAAACTTTAATACCTCTTCGGATTTGATTTAATTTCACTCTCACTAGGAACCCTACCCCCTAAGCAACCACTTCACTTACGACTAATCGTTCTGTTTTCTGTCAATTTCAAATTAGAAACCTTATTACCTCTTATTCAATCTTATTTTGACATTAGAAACATTACCTCTTATTCAATATTAATTTCACTCTTATTAGAAACATGATTACTTCTTATTCAATCTTAATTTCACTCTTATTAACCCCCCCCCCCCCACCACCACCAAGGCAACCCCTTCACTTGCGACTAATCATTCTGTTTTCTGTCATCTCTTATTCAATCTTTTTTTCGTTCTTATTAGGAAAATTAATACCTCTTATTCAATTTTTTTTTCACTCTTACTAGAAACCAGAAAACCTCTTATTCAATCTTATTTTCATTCTTATTAGAAACCTTAATTACCTCTTATTCAATCTTATTTCCACTCTTATTAGAAATCTTTAATTACTCTCATTCAGTCTTATTTCCACTCTTATTATAAACCTAATTACCTCTTATTCAATCTTATTGTCTTCTTATTAGAAACAAATTACCTTTTATTAATCTTATTTCCACTCTTATTAGAAACCTTAAAACCTCTTATTCAATCATTTCAATCTTATTAGAAACCTTAATTACCTCTTATTCAATCATTTTCACTCTTATTAGAAACAATTATTACCTCTCATTCAATCTTACTTCCACTCTTATTAAATAGACACCTTGATTACCTCTCATTCAATCTTATTTTCACTCTTATTACAAACCTTAATTACCTCTTATTTAATCTTATTTTCACTCTCATTAGAAACAATTATTTACCTTTATTCATGCATTTTTGTACTCTTAATTAGGGGAAAATCTATTACCTCTTATTAATCTATTTTCACTCTTATCGAACCCCCCCCTCCCTCTCCCCTACAGGCAACTTCACGTGCGGCTTTGCGACATCGACGTGGCTGATCGGCGCGCCCCCCCTTTTCTGCTGGAGGCTTAGGTCTGGCGTAGGGCGCTTGCACTGCTGTTCGACGGGTTTGGTCTAGGGGCGTGTATAGGGGGCGACCTCCGACCCCGGGGGTTTAGAAGACCTGTGGTTTGGTTTTGCCCTTGGCGTGTCCTGGTCGGGGTTTGTCTAGGGCGTGTCCTGGGGGCGTTTTTGGCTGGGGCGGGGGCGTGTCCGAGGGGGTGTTGAGGGGGTTGTGCTAGGGGGTTGTCCGGGGGCGTGTCTCGTGGGGGTTTGTCTAGGTGGAGGGTGTCCCTGTGTCCGGGGGGTGTGGTTAGGGGGTTGTCCGGGGGGCGTGTCCGGAGGGGGTTTGTCTAGGGATGTCCTGGGGGCGTGTCGTCTAGGGGCGTATAGGACCGTGTCCGGAGGGGGTTTGTCTAGGGGGTTGGTCCGGGGGGCGTGTTACAGATTTTTGGGTTAGGGGACGTGTCTGGGGGGTGTCCGGAGGGGGTTTGTCTAGGGGCGATGTCCTGGGGGCGTGATCCGGAGGGGGTTTGTCCTAGGGGGGTGTTCCTGGGGGCGTGTCCGGAGGGGGTTTTGTCTAGGGGTGTCCTTGGGGGCGGGTGGAGGGGGGTTTGGTCTAGGGGGGTTGTCCGGGGGGCGTGTCCGAGGGGGTTTGTCTAGGGGGGTTTGTCCTGGGGGCGGTTCCGGAGGGGGTTTGTCTAGGGGGGTGTTGTCGGGGGGCGTGTCCGGAGGGGGATTTGGATCTATGGGGGTGTTAAAAGGGGCTTGCTCGGGGGGGTTGTCCGAGCAGGAGGGTTTGTACTAGGGGCGGTTGTCAGGGGGGGCGTGTCCGGAGGGGGAGTTTGTCTTATGTTTAATTAATGAGTCAAAATATGCGGCTTTGTGTGCTCGTGGGGCTTGGTACCTTCCGTGATTCGTGGGTTGGGTCATAGGGGCCCGAACCCGGTGTTCCTGGGGGCAGTGTCCCGGAGGGGGTTGTGTCTTAGTGGGTAACTGGGTACTTGTCCTGGGGGCGTGTACCGGAGGGGGAGTTTGTCAAGGGAGGTTGTGCCGCGGGGCGTGCACCGGAAGGGGGTTTGTCTAGGGGGGTGTCTCTGGGACCAGCAACCAGGTTTCTTGATTTTCCTTGAGCTTTAAAGGTGTGTGAGAAACGTGTACGGACGGGGAGGTTTGTCGAGCGGGGAGTTGGTCCGGGGGGGCGTGTCGCGGAGGGGGATTGTCGGTAGGGGGGTAGTTCCCTGGCGGGTCGTGTCCGGAAGGGGGTGTTGTCTTAGAGGGGTTGTCGGGGGGGCCATGAGGTAAACGAGAATTAGTTATGTCGTGTCCCGGGAGGGGTTTGTCTAGGGGGTGTCCGGGGGCGTTGTCCGGAGGGCACTATAGTTGCTAGGGGAAGGTGTCCTGGTGGGCGGTCCGGAGGGGGTTGTCTAGGGGGAGTGTCCTGGGGGCGTGTTCCGGAGGGGGGATTTGTCGTAGTAGGGGTTGTAGGAACGCATGGCGGGCCCCAGAGTTTATGGAGTCCCGGAGGGAGAGAGTTTGTACTAGGCAGGAGGTGTCGGGAGTGGGGAAAGCAACAACAATTAAAGTAATTTACTGTGTCACGAGTTGGTGGCACTTTGTCTCTAGGGGTGGTGTCCTGGGGGGCGTTTGCGAGAGTTTGTCGGTGAGAGGGGTGGTGTTCCTTCGCGCGGCCTATTTGAGTGTGAAAACCTACTTCAAAGCTGTCCGGAGGGATTGTCTAGGGGCGGTTATCCTATGGATGTCTCTGTGTCGGGCGTGTCCGGAAGGGGGATTGTCTAGGGGATTTAATATAGGCTGTGGGCGCTGGAAGATAATAGGGCGTTGTCCGGTGAGAGGGATATATGGTCATAGGGTTGAGAGAACAAATGCATAAAGATAATATGTATGAGCGGATGTTCAGCTCTGTGGGACTCTATAAAGAGGTAGGTTACTGTTAGAGGTGTTGTCAGGGGGCGTGATATGTCCGGAGGGGGTTTGTCTCAGGCTGGGGGTGTCTGGGGATGTCCGTGAGGAGCGTGTTGAACTCGATAAGAGATGGTGATCCATGTAGTGAGGCTGTGGTCACCGGAATAAGAGGGTTTGTCTAGGGGACATCAAACTATGTTGGTGTCCGGTGGGAGGGTCGCTGTATCGGAGGGAGAGTATCTCTGAGAGGGATAACTACACGATCGTACGCATGTATCAAAAGTCCCGGGGCAAGGTGGATGTTTTGTCCGCCAAGAAGGTAACGGTTCTGTCTTAGGGGTTGGTTGTGCCTGCAGGGCGTGTCCCGAGAGGGATTGCATCTAGGGGGGTGTTCTTGGGTGGCGTCCTCCTCGGAGGGGGATTTGTCTAGGGGGTTGTCGCTGGTGGCGATGTTCCGCGTAGGGTGTCTTGTCTCATGCGGGGTTGTCCTAGGGAGTGTTCCAGTGAGGGGTTTGGTCATACAGGGGTCCCGTCCTGGCGCCGGCTGTGGTCCCGAGGGGGATTGTCCCTAAGCTGCGAGGGGGGTGTCACTGGGGGCGTGTCCGGAGGGGCTTGTTGTTCTAGGGGCGCTGGTGTCCTGAGAGGGGCGTGTCCGCGAGGGGGCGTTTTCTATACACTCGGCAGGGCGGGTTTTGTCTTGTGCTGGGGGCGTAGTCACGGAGGCGTGATTTGGTGGTATCCCAAGTTTCAACGTACGATTATTAGTAAGAACATCCGACTGCGAAGACCGGGACGAGAAGTACGTCTAAGTCTTTATTCAGGACTAGGCGAAGCAGGGACGCTTGAAAAGATGGTAGTCCTTGTCTTAGGGGGGTGTACCTGAGGCGTGAGTCCGGAGGAGGAGTGTACTAGGGGCTCCGCCAGGGTGTTCTCTGGGGCGGTGTTCTCGTGACGGGGGAGTTTGTCTAGGGAAGGAGTGGCGGTCGCGGAGGAGCGTGTCCGGAGGGGGTTGTCTAGGGGGTGTCCTGGGTGGGCGACGGTGAGAGTGTGCGTGGCTGGTGGTTCAGGCCCTATGACTATCCTGGCAGGACACTCCCACATGACGGATTAGTCACGGAGGAGTTTAGTCAGGTGGCGGTTGTTCCCCTGAAACAGCCTTTGGGGGCGCTCCGGAGGGATTGTGCTAGCGGGCCAATGTCCTAGGGGCAGACGTGTCCCGCGTCCGGTGGGATGTCTGGAGGTGTCCTGGGTGCGTGTCCGGAGGGCGGCTTGTCGGTAAGGGGAGTGTCCTAGAGGTGGCGTGCTCTCGGAGTGTGTAAAGGTTTGTCTATTGATGGGGATGTCCCTGGGGGCGTGTCGCGAGGGGGATGGTCTAGGGGGGTGTCCCTTGGGGGGTGCGTTGTCCGGAGGTGTGGATTGGGACTAGGGGTATGGTGTACCGCTGGGGCGTTGTACCGACGGGGCTTTGTCTAGGGGGGTGTCCTGGGGCGTGGTGCCGGAGGGGGTTTGTCTAGGGGGTTGTCCTTGGGGGGCGTGTCCGGAGGGGTTTGTCTTAGGGGGGTGTTCCTGCGTGGCCCGCGTGTGCCGGAGAAAAGTTTTGTCTAGCGGGGTGTTCCTGGGGGGCGTGTCCGAGGAGGATTGTCTAGGGGGGTGTCCGTGGGAGGGCCGGTGTCCTGAGGGGGATTGTCTTAAGGGTCGGTTGTCCTGGGGGTGCAGGTGAATATTCATCCGTGCGTGTCCGATGGGGGCTTGTCTAGTGTAGGGGGCGCTTGTGGTGTCGCCATCGCGGCCACTCGTGCAACGAGTGGTGCATCGAGGTGTCCGAGTCCGAGCGTGTTGCCGGATGCTGGAGTGCTTGCCTCTAGGGGTTTCCTGGGGCGTGGTATGTCCGGACGGGACGGGTTGTTCTGGCAGGGGGGTGTCCTGCGGGGCGTTTGTTCCGCTGTAGGGGGTTTTTCTAGAGGAGGGTGTCCCTTGGAGCGCGTGTCCCGGAGGGTGGGGTGTTGTCTAGGGGGGTTGTTCCTGGGCTTTCCGGAGGGTTTGTCGGGGTTGTTTCGGGGGGAGGGAGGGCGTTGGGTCCGGAGGGTTGGCGTTTGTCTATGGGGTGGGTCCTTGCGGAGCTTCCAGGGAGGCTGGTTTGCTCGTAGGGGGGTTGTCGAGGGGGCGGGCGTGTCGGAGGGGGTTTGTTCTAGGGGGGTGTCCTGGGGGGACGTGTCGGAGGGGGTTTGTCTAAGGGGGTTGTCCGGGGTCTCGTGTCCGGAGGATGCTCGTAGGGGGGTGTCCGGGGGCTGGTCCGCGAGTGAGGTTTGTCTAGGGGGGTTACGGGGGGGACGTTGGTCCGGAGGAGGTTTGTCCTAGGGGGTGTCCTGGGGGCGTTTCGTGAGCGGGGTTTGGTGTGCTAGCGCGGTTGTCCGGGCATGACGACGTGCTCCTGAGACGCTGGGTATCCGTTCTGTTGCCCCAGAAACCCTTTTCCGGAGCTCACAGAATTAAAAAGAAAAAGCAACAGCCCAAAAGGTGGTGCGCTGTCCAAGGAGTGGGTGCTAAGGGGGGCATGTCCGTGGTAGGGCGTCTCCGAAGGAGGTTTTTTGTCTAGGGGTTCCTGACGTTTGCCGTGAGGGTTGTCTTAGTGTTTCGGCGGGGCGTGTACCGGGAGGAGGGTTTGTCTAGGGGAGGGTCCTGGGTGGCGCGATGTCCGGAGGGGGATGTCTAGGGGTTGTCCGGGGGTTGCGTGTCCTGTTGAGGGGTGTTTGTTAGGGGGTTGTCCCTGGGGGAGCGTGTCCGGAGGGTTTGTCTAGGGGGCGTGTCCTGGGGGGTGTCGGGGGCGTGCCGGAGGGGTTTGTCTAGGGGCGCGTGCCTGGGGGCCGTGTCCGGAGGGGGTTAGTCTAGGGGTTTGTCCGGGGGCGTGTCCGGAAGGGGGTATTGTCCTAGGGGCTGTCCCTGGGGGCATGATCCCGAAGGGGGTTTGTCTAGGGGCAAGTGTCCTGGGGGCCACGTGTCCGGAGGGGGTTTGTCTAGGGCGTTGTCCTGTGGGCGTGTCCGGAGAGCGTTTGTTCTAAGCGGTGTACCTCCGGGCTGGCCGGAGGGGATATAATCGGTTTTGTCCTAGGGGCGTGTCCGGGCGGGCGTGTCCGGAAGGGGGTTTGTGCAGGGGCGGTGTCCTTGTGGGCGTGTCGGAGAGGGGATGTGTCTAGGGGGTCCCGAGTGGGGGTTGCTGGGCGTGTAACCTGGGCGGTGTCGGAGGGTGTTTCTAGGGCGTGTCGCGTGGGGAGCGTGTCCGGAGGGGGTTTGTCTAAAGGCGGTGTCCTGGGGGGCGTGTCGCGAAGGGGTTTGTCCTAGGCGTGTCACGTGCGGGAGCGTGTCCGAAGGGTTTGTCTAGGGCGTGTCGGAGGGGTTTGTCGTAAGGGCGGTGTCCTAGGGGCGTGTCACGGAGGGGGATTGATCTAGGGGGGTGTCCGGATGTTGGTTTGTCTTAAGGGCGGTTGACCTGGAGGGGGCGTGTGCCGAGAGGGGGATTGCGTCTAGGTGGTGTGCCGGCAGGGGTTTGATCTAGGGCGTTCCTGGGGGTGCCGGAGGGTTTGTTCTAGCGGGCGTCGTCTGGGGGCGTGTCCGGCAGGTTGTCTAAGGGCGCTCTGTCCTTAGGGCCGTGTCCGGAGGGTGCTTTGTCCTAAGGGCGTGTCCGGGGGCGTGTCCGGAAGGGGTTTGTCTAGGGGCGTGTCCGGAGGGGGTTGTCTAAGGGCGGGTGTCGTGGGGGCGTGTCCGGAGGGCGGTTTGTCTAAGGGGGGTGTCCCCTGGGGGCGATGTGCCCAGAGTGGTGTTGTCTAGGGGTGTCCGGGAAGCGTGATGCCGAAGGGGCGGATTGTCCACTAGGGGCGTGTCGGCAGGGGGCGTGTCACTGGGGGCGTAGTCTGGAAGGGGGTTTGTCTAGGGGCCGGTGTCGGGAGGCGTGGTCCGGAGGGGTTTTAGTCTAGCGGGCGTGTCCGGAGGGGCGTTGTCCGAGGAGGGGCCTTGTATTAAGGGGGTGTCCGGGGGCGTGCTCCGGAGGGAGTTTTTGTCTAGGGGCCGTGTCCGGAGGGTGGCGTGGGATCCTGGGGGGCGTGTCGAGCGGGGTTTTGTCTGGGGGGTGTCCTGGGGCGTGTCGGAGGGGGTTTTGTCTAGGGGGTGTCTGGGGGCGTGTCCGGAGGGGGTTTGTCTAGGGGCTGTCCCGGGGGCGTGGCGGAGGGGATTGTCTAGGGGCGTGTCCTGGGGGCGTGTCCGGAGGGGGTTTGTGCTAGGGGGCGTGTCCGGGGGGCGTTGTCCGGGGGGGTTTGTCCTAGGGGCGTGTCCGGAGGGGGGCGTGTCATGGGGCGGTGTCCGGAGGGGGTTTGTCTACGGGGGGTGTCCTGGGCGGCGTGTCCGGGGGGGTTTGTTCTTAGGGGGGTGTCCCTGGGCGTGTATCCGGAGGGGCTTGTCTAGGGGCGTGTCCCCTGGCGGGCGTGTCGGAGGGGGTTTGTCTAGGGGCGTGTCCGGGGGGGCGGTGTCCGGAGGGGGTTTGTCTAGGGGCGTGGTCGGGGGCGTGTCCGGAGGGGTTTGTCGGGGTGTGTGGGGGACGTGTCCGAGGGGTTGTTAGGGGCGTGTCCGGGGGGCGTGTCCGGAGGGGGCTTGTCTAGGGGCGTGGTCCGAGGGTTTGTCTAGGGGCGTGTCCTGGGGTGTCGAGGGGGATTGTCTAGGGGGTGTCCGGAGGGGGTTTGTCTAGGGGCGTGTCCTGGGGCGTGTCCGGAGGGGTTGTCTAGGGGGTTGTCTAGGGGGGGCGTGTCCGGAAGGGGTTTGTCTAGGGGCGTGGTCCTGGGCGTGTCGGAGGGGGTTGTCTAGGGCGTGTCTGGGGCGTGTCGGAGGGGTTTGTCTAGGGGTGTCGGGGTGTCCCGGAGGGGATGGGGGAGGGGGTTGGTCTAGGGGGTGGGGCGTGTCCGGAGGGGTTGTCTGGGGGTTCCTGGGGGTGTCCGGAGGGGGTTTGTCTAGGGGTGTCTGGGGGCGTGTGCTCGGTCTATGGCGGTCTGTGTGCGGGTGAGGGAAGGGGTGGGGGTTGGTGGTGGGTGGGGAGGGAGCGTTTCTGAGCCCTGGGACGGGTTGGGGAGAGGGTATGGGGGAAAGTGTGGGGTATAAGGGGAAAATGTCCTGCTTTGAAATGAACTGCTCTCTCTTTGCTTGCCGTTGCAGGGACAGGTGAAAAATCAGTTGAGGTGCAAGCGAGATTGCCATTATCATTATTGTTGTCTTTGCCATTGTTATTTTTGTTAGATAAAATGAATTTGTTTCCTTATCATCACAATACGCACGCACACACACACACACACACATACACATACACATACACATACACATACACACACACACACACACATACACATACACATACACATACACTATACACATACACATACACATACCACACACACACACACACACACACACACCACGCACACACACACACACACACACACACACGCACACACACACGCACACACACACATACACGAGATTGTAATTAGTACTAAAGCACTCCTACGACGTTTACAAAGAGCAGCATAAATGGGTTCAATTCTCAGCCATACATTAATTGCATGATTTCTTTAACAGCTGATCTTGCAGCCGAGATCTCAACGCAGTTTCTCCATTCATTAGAGATGCAACGTCGGCTTCGTCTTAACATACAATACGATGAAGGGAGAGACGTTTCATAAAATTAAAGAAAAAACGTTGAAAACAAACAAATCTTGAAATAAAATTGGATGGGAATTGTTTCATGGTTTTCCTTTCTCCTGCGCGCAATAGTTATGTTTGTGAATAAAAAATGTCTGGTTCTCTTAACTGATTTTAAGATGTCGCAACGAACCAGGTCCGGCATCCACGGAAGTTCTCAGACAATTCTGGGACTAAAATTTGAGTCTCAAAAGTGTCAGAGACAAAAATGTGTCGATCGTTTGTTTACTTCGTTGATCTGCGCTTGTTTAGTTAATACATTTTCAATGATACATAAATATGCGTTTTTTTAGCGAAATACTCAGCTGGGTTGGCACAACACACAAATGAATAATTACATAAGAAAAAACAAAAACAAATATCGATAAAAATGTGAAGATGGCCTTTGCTGAAGCGCCATGGCTGTGATATCGCTTTATGCAGAATTTTGTAATTCGCAAATACACAAACCAAGGAATGCGTGTTTTTCTCTTAGATATAGTGTAAAAATGAAAATGCGCACAATAACAGTATACAAGAAAATGATTAGGACTGCAGTGCAATCTGCCGAAGCGGAGAAGGCTGCGGCTCTATTCTAGTTTTCACTAAACTTGGGATCCATAAATTAGAAGACTCAGATCATGAATTCCAAAGCTTAATTAATTATGAAATTTTTATCATGTTTTTTTTCATTTTTATTAAAGATGGATAGAATATATAAGGTTTTGTAGAGGTTAGGGATGATTATATTATGACTGAAGAGAATGTACATTTTGCAGATTTCTTGCAACAAATTTAATCTGATTTTCTTGCATTAGCTATTTCTGTAAATGATAATAAAAACCCTGTTCTTTTAGATGCACTTGAAAAAATATCTATTTATGTAGGCCTCATTCATTTATATTCAGATTACTTATTCTTATCGGTTGGTTACTTTTCAGTAAAATAATACAGAAATATTATAAACTAAAAAAGTATTAATTTCAAAAGTGACGTCATGACAATAGCAAAATTAAATTATTCAGTAATCAAATATGTACAGG